TTACTTGTTCGGTTCTAATGTTATTACTAAGACGTCTAATAAATGCACGGCTTTTAGTTCTAGAAGAATCAAAGTCAGTAAAGACAAGTATTTTTTGTATAATGTCTGCATTTTAATTGCTCAACTTCTTTTGCACCAGAGCAACTGTCAAAAACTTCCAGCAGTAAAAAGTTACGAATTGGCACAGCAGAAATGTTAAATTTTTTTCGCCATAATAAAAAGTTTTTCAACATGGAACTTTTCTACTAATTGACATGAAATTACTATCTCAACGCTCGGAGCGCTGCCACTGAGGGCCTTTGCCAACTGATAAAAAGAGAAAATTTGGAAAGATCAAACAAAAATTTTGAGATTTCTCGTGGTGAATACGAACGCCATAATTTTTACCTAGCTCGTGGGATTACGCAAAATTTTGACGGCTTGTAAATATGTATACACATAAAGTTTTTGGCGGTAATCAAGAGTCAAAATCAAAATGGAGAAAAGAACAAAAAGCTTACGTTAGTTGTCAGTTATAAAATATATCAAATTTATCTGCGAATATTTGTTTATTCTATTTATTGAAAGGCAACCACGCGGAAAAGCTTGTATTGATTATATTGATAACAGAACCTGGCAACTCGCACGTTGTCTAAATTCTCAAGTAACATCAAATCTACAAAAGAATACATTGCTTGTATCAATACGCCATGTATAAATTTTAACAACACACAAAAATAGAGCTTTCGTAAGAGCGTTTGTTTGGTTTTTAAACACCATTTATAATTTTCTTTTAATAAAATCACGATTTGTCAAATGCTTAAATTTATTTTTCTAATAATAATGCAGCACACAACCCTGAAATCTATGAAAAAATCTGAGGAAGGCCATTAAATAGCAGCACAGATCCCAGTGCCTTCCTCAAGGGTGAATATAGCTACAACAACACCGATTACTACAACCAGAACCCAAAAAGGTCTATACTGTGCATTTTTAGTTTGTTCCAGTACACTAGGACATAGTAAGAAACAGTATGAAATTACAGGAAGTCGTTCCCGTACGCAAGAATTTCTCTCACTGGGAACACTTTTGAGCGAGTAAGAGAGCAACTCTTCCCAGTCAGAAGTGACAGGATTTTGCCCGAAGTTTTTCTTCCTGCAAGTTCATGAAAAGTGTCAAACGATAGGCAGGGTTGCATTAGTAAACAAACACAGAACGCCGTGCGATCAAAGTTGGAGGTAAACAACGAAATATTTGAATATGTACGCAATTATTCTTAATTGTATAATTTTTAATAATTATTTAATGATTTTCAGCCAAATCAGTGTTCTACCAATGACATGTAAACAAACCTACTGACGTTTGTGCAGGAAATAGTGCTTTTTGCGTTCCCGTTCACTTCTGTAACAGTTCCCCTTATACTCTCACTTGAGAGAGTAAGAATGTAGTTTGACAGTTCCACATGTCTTTGCACGAAGAATACTGGAACAAACTATTTACTTAACGAAGTGTCAGAAAGAAATTTTATTATAAGAAGAGAACAAGAGAGAAGGTAACGAAAATTCAAAAGAAAGGGAATGCATGATAATTAACATGTCAAACAACTTAAGATAGGGCTGTATTTATTTCATTTAATTCAGCATATATATTGGCGTTATTTCACCTTTGATAATTTGTTGTGAAATGTTTACCTATTGTACAGCTGGTGTGCATATAAAGAGTAACTCGGTAATTCTCTAGTTTCAGGTACAACTTGCAAGAAAAAAACGCCCAAAAAAAGTCAGGAGGGTGCGTTTTTATCCCTGTATTAACAATTTGGATGTTAATATTGTTAACCATGCAAAAGTTATTAACAAAACACTTTTTTGCAATATTGCCCTTTTTATGAGCAATTTCACGCTCAAAAATGCACTAAATCACCAATATTCTCTTTTGAAAAACTAGTCAAATATATTATTTAAAAAACTTTTTCAAAAAGCGATGTTCCCGATCTGAAATGAGAAAATTCAAAACGGCGTAAAGTGCTCCCACTTTATTTGTATTTCGTAAAAATTCAGTTTTCCTTAGTACTTAACATTGCAGATGCCATATAAGGAAAACTGAATTTTTACGAAATACGAACTATACGCCGTATTGAATTTTCTCGTTTCAGATCGGCCATAATAGTCTTATTTCTCAATGTGAAGTGAAATAAAGCCATATGGCGTTATTTCCTATGGCTTTATTGCACGGCGCCTTTTTTTCTATCATCTATTCTTCAAAATGTAATAGATCCCCACGACGCTCGGGTAAATCCCGATTTAACATCGTGGGCTCCTCTACGAAATATAATATTTACTCGACTAAAATATAGACGCATAATTATGTATGTACAAATGTATGTTTTAATGTATGCTTTCCAATATTTTTCAGATATATTAAGCATTATAAAAAATGGCTGACTAGTAGACACTATTACATTTGTCAAGCCAAAATACAGTTGGTGCAACTAATTGGTACTGATCCCAAGGAGCTTATGGTAGTACCTGAGGATAAACTCAATCTCAAATTGGAATATGTTAAAGAGTTGATCGATTTATATGAGAAATTAGCACCGTGTATGTATTATATAAACATATTCACAAATACATGTGCAAAAAGCAAATAGAGTTGTAAAACATTCGAAACTGTCAAATATGTATTTCAGGTGAAGTCCGCATGTTGGGTACATTTTGTTTTGAGTTGCACTCAGCCATAGCAGAGCATACACGTCGAGTGGCATTGCAGACCACATTATCTCCGAAAAACATGTTGGAGGAATCCTTACTCTATGTTGAAAAATGTATAAATTATTTGCAGCATGAATGCGACCTGTTTGTAGAGGGTCACATCCTTATACAGGCGAGAATCAACAGAGACGCTCTAAGAATGGTGCTAGTAATGTAAAAAAAGAACGCTCAATTATCTTTGTATTTTTAATTTATTATTTCATCCTATTAAAGAAATTTAAAACTTATTTTATTTTCTGGTAAATAGATTAAAGGAAGAAATTGGTAGCTTAGAGTGAAAAGTAGCTAAGTCCACTTTTTTTGAAAACTCATATTTTGATAAAGGAAGCAAGAGAATTCAAAAATGCATATTTTCGAAAAGGATTAAGGTACTTCAACGAAAGGCAAATTTGCTAAGTCCAAAAGAGGCGCCGAAATCCTTTAACAATGATCGAATCCTCCGGATTGTAAAGGAGTTTTGCTTTGCTTTAAACATGCAAAATGTTGTGTTCTAAGTTTAGCGATAAAAAGAAAGAAAATGGCTCCAAGAAGTTTTTTCGTCTCCTGTAAAATTTTTAAAAGAGAACTTAGCAACTTTTCACTCTAAGCTAGCGATATGTTTATACATGTTATACAATTAATATAAATATTATATAAATATTAAATATTAATATTAATAAATAAATAATAATAAATATTAATATAATTCATTCTCATCAAGTGCTTCAAAAGTGTTTAGGCGCGTCTGCTAACACCAGGCGCCTAAATACATGCTATGTACTGCTGCATGTGCAAAAATTTCCTTTATACAATTTATGAAATTTTTGCACATGCACTTCTCAACTGCCATGTAATTGAACTTTCTTAAGTTTTGATTAGATGGCACTTCAAAGCATGCTCGGCCTAGTCTGATGCATCCTCCGGACACTGCTTCCGGAGCATTTTGCGGACTCTGCATGACTTACAACCATGCAGAGGTGGCAAACGAACTTTGCCATTGGCCACAATGCCTACCCACCATTTTTGAACCAATAAATATTTTTTTATATAAATACATACATGTAAACATACTGGCCTCTCCTCTCTCTGAGTTATTCAAAAAGTTTAAATAAATATTAATATAAATATTAATAAATATATAATAATAAATAAATATTAATATAATTCATTTTCATCAAGTGCTTCAAAAGTTAGACGAGGAATATTTAGATCGCTTAAATAGAATAAGTTGAATTCAAATTACGCTGTGCAAGCTGCAAGTTTGAGCAAAAGTTTTAATAGTTGAACTCACCGCGTGATTTCGACGACTTAGGGGAAGGAAAATCATAGCACCCACAATTTTTACTCTAGAAATTTTTTTAGTTATGTACTTCTAATAGACTATATAAATACGGTTTCAAAGGATGTACGTGATTCCATAAGTACAATATTTTAGATGGGCATTTCCAGGGGATGGTCTTTACAGTCAAAAATTAAAAGTGATACATACATACATACATATTCACCCCTATGCTGTAATCCGTTATAGATTCGATTTTGCTACGAATCGTAAAATTGGTATGCTGAAATCCGCGTAAAATAAAGTGTGTAAAGGAGAAAATATGTAAGTTAAAGTGTAAATAGAAAAAAATGGATTATTGTTAAATATTTACAAAATTATCAGGTCGAAGATCACAACAAATCGGTCGCAATACGAAAAAATGGTAGAATGCAAGACCGAAAGGCCGGACATTGCCCGCGGCTTTGCAAAAGGAGCTAAAGAGGATGTAGTGGAGTTTTGGGAAAGCGTCGCTCAGCAGCTAAACAGCTTAGGCCCACCGACAAAAGATGTATCCAGCTGGAAAAAGGTGCGGATTAAATTTTAAGAGCACAAAATTTATTTATCATTTCCTTATATCAATACTATTTCTAGGTATGGCTACAGTGACCATCCGTTCTGTTTTTTGCAGGACCGTACTGTTTTTCAAAGGTCGGTCCTGCGTAGTTTTACAAACCTGAAAAGCCTGAAAATGTACTGATTTTTTCCAAGTGTCCTGCATTTGTCCCGCATTTTATTCGTTATTTTAAAATTATCGGACAATGGATGGATTTTTCAAAAAAGTGTTTTTTGGTACTTTTCGTAGCTTTTCTTCAATATCTCATGAAAAAATCTCCAAATTAACGTAAGCGACTTACAGCTCGAAGGGTATTGATGTGCCTCTTACCAAAATATATAACTTGTGGCGACTTCAATGAAAATGTTTAGTGCTACAGGCGAAAAAAGTGAGATTTTCAATCAAATACGCAGTTTCATTTGATTACTTTTTTTTCATTATTTAAAAAATTCGATAAAGAAGATATATCATTACAGTGATCTTTGAGCCAAAGGTAATGAAAATCAGATTAGAAATGTAGATGCTATGGAGCGCAATATGCACAAATTATATATCTTTGTTAAGGGCACTTTGTAACTCATCGTTTACGTCGATTCATGACGTCAATTTTTGAAAAATAACTGCGAAAAGTAACAAAAATCCAAAAAAGAAGGGTATTGTTTTCGTTTTGAACGACTCAAAATTTGCTTATAAAATAATCTTTTAAAGATTTTCACTTTTCGTGTAAGCTATTGTAATTATAATATGTTTTACTATACTTTTATAAATATTCATGTAAAAAAAGATCAATATCAATGAAGAAAACGTGATTCATTTTTAAAGTTTAAAATGTATTAAGAATTTAGAATCATAAATACTCTTTTGATATTTTTTTACTACGTAAATATATGTAGGCTTATTTTTGAAAAATTGTCCTTCATTTTGAATCCATATTTATGGTCACCGTAGGTATGACTCGATTATAAGTGCTACATTAAAAGAAAGCTTTCCGCCAATAAAGTAGAGACGAGGGCAACTGGTGGTGGACCCAACAGAATGCATAATTTCAATGAGTTGAAGGAAAAAGTGGTCCGAGTTGACGGGTTTGCACACTTCCACATCGGGGATCAGTGGAGCTGTCTCTTTTGGTGTGGTAACAACACAGACGGTTACCCAACCGTTGGTGGAACCTGCGGAAGTCGTTCCTATGCCAACTGAGCCAGACAATGCCAATGTGCAGAGTCGTTCCCCCGGTAAAAAAAAACGACTCGGCCACTTTGGTGCAGGAGCAAATAAATTTGCAACGAAGCTACTACCAAAAAAGTTTGGCCTTTTTGGAACACCAGGCTGAGTATGCAAACGGGCTGGCAGATAACGTGCGACGCATGTACCAGGTGCAAGAAAACATGCATGACATGAAGAAGGAAAAAAGCGGCACAATATTGAAATGGAGGCCCTTAAAAGAAGGAAGCTTGATTTGCAGGAAAAATTACTGCGGATACAAGAAAGAAGCCAGCAAAAATTAACTCATAGATTAATTTATTTTTAAGATTTTTTTATTTTTGAATTTAATTTAATTTTGCACTGAACTACTGATTTTGTTATTTTTTTTTTTATTTATTGGATTTAAGACTGTTAGATTTAAGAATATAACTGAACTAAAGAAGCGAACTAACGTTTTTGATATCTGTATATATGTATAAACTATTAGATTTAAGAAAAGAACTGAACTAAAGAAATGAGCTAACGCTTGTGATGACTCTATATATTTACAAACTATTAGATTTAAGAAACCAACTGATTTTTTTTTGTATACAATAAAACCCGCTTTTGTCAGCTTTTTGAGATACTTAGGCGGGTTGCGTACTTAAAAGAACCCGCTTAAGTACCTCGATGCGGGTACTTAAGCGAACATAATTACTGATGTAGTTACATCTTCTTGTTAGCTTACATAAATATTGAATAACAACATTTAATGAAGTATACATACTTTAAAACCAAAAACATATTTAGTGCAATGGTCTGTCATTTTTACAAGAATTAAATTGTTTAAAAAGTCAAGGTTGGACATATCATTTTGTACCGAATTCAAAATGATATTGTTTGCCACTTATGATTATTTATTAATTTTTAATGTTTTTCAATCAATTAAAATGCATTTCACTCCCTAACAAATACCATATAAGCCTAAGCTTAAGATTTTGTAGAACACTTAAAAAAAAATCATCATAATTTCAAACTTTTTTCCCAGAAGTGTTATTTGAGTACATATTCAGTACTTAAGCAGGTTTCACTGTATTTAGTTTTAAGTAAAGAACTGAATTTATTTCTAATTTTTTTGTATTAAATAAATATGAAGTAAAAAGTTATGGGATTGTTTTCATTAGTTAGGTAATGATCTCAAAATTCGCATTCTTATATCTGACGCTTCTCTGGAAAATTCTGATGGCGCTTCCTCTTCATTTACATCTTCATATTCATCAGCCATAATATCAGATGTATTATCTTCCACGTTATAGTGGATGCACATGTTATGCAATGCGCATACGCCATTTATTATTTGTACCACTTTTTGGGGCGAATAATGTAGTTGGCGAGCACTTAGCAGGCATCGAAATCTATTTTTCAAAACGCCGATGACTCTCTCGACTATGTTGCGCGCTTTACTGTGCGTTTTGTGGAAGGCGTTTTCTCGACTTCCTGCCACAGGAGAACGGCTGTAATGGATATCCAGCATCGCCTGTTAAACAAAATATTTTTAGTTATATTTAACACATTTTGCTCCCATTCCATTTATAACATACCTAATATCCAAGTTGTTTTGTCTCCTTGCCGATATCTCTCTCCAAAATAGGTTTTTGCAGCGCTTACATACCACACATGTGAGTCGTGGCTATTGCCTGGAAAACGAGCATCAACACACCTTATTTGCATCTAGTTATCGCAAATCTATTTAATAAATTTACGATAAATTGCACGTACAAAATCACTTTGCTCTTGTGGTTTTACTGGCCGTCTCCACAGGATAAAATTTATTGCTGCCCAGCTGTCATTTTGGCCGCTAGGTATAAGTTATATCAGTGGCAATATTTGTGTGGGCTCTTTATATCTTGATATACGCATTTGTGAGATAGCTTCGAAAACGTATTTTTGCCGGATTTAATCGCTTAAAAAATTTAGAAAATAGGCTAGTTTGCATCCAAATACATAATTACAAATATTTTAACAGGAAGCAGCTCAATTTTTGCTTTTATATTAAAATAATAATGATGTTGTAGCCACGAAGTTTTCGTGCAAATGAAAATGTAGCTGTCAAACTACCAAATTGCCGGCAATAGATGGCAAGATATATAGGCTGTGGTATCCCTTACGATTGTAGTACAAATACGGTTCGTCTGCAGGAGGAAGTATTTTAATGTGCGTGCCGTCCACACACATAATAACGCCAGGGAATTGCGTTCTCCTGTAAAACCACATGTTTGCAAAAAATTTATCCGTTAGGTGGCGCCGGGGTTAAAATATTTGGAAGCCCGTATATATGGACCGATTTCTTTAAAATTTGCGACATGTATTAGATA